CCTCATGAAATGAGAGTTACAAGAGTTAGAGTAAGAAATCCTACATCTCCAAACTATTTAGAAATAACGGCTTGCTGTGTAGATGCATCCTTTATTTCGAAATAACGTCAGTTATTCTGAAATAACGCGGCTCTGTAGACATACCAAACTGTACTTCATTCAGATCCTGCAGTCCTTATTCAAAGTTTGGAAAGACTAAATTGTTATCAGTAAATGTCACTAAGGCTATGTCTACACAGCAGGGTTTTTTTCAGAATAACTGACATTATTCCGAAATAACATAGTCTGCGTTTACACAGCAAGCAGTTATTTCGACATAATGTTGAAACAATGTCAACTTCTTATTCTGACTCCCATAACCCTCACTTCACAAGGAGTAAGGGAAGTCAGAGGAAGAGTGTTCTACCTCAGATTTCCTGCTGTGTAGACAACGCCAAAAGCCAAATTAAGCTATTTCGACTTAAGCTATGCAATTGACATAGCTCAAATTGAAAAGCTTATATCAGCTTCGGCCCTGCTTTGTAGACTTGTCCTAAATGTGGATATCTCATATATCTTTCATAACTAAAAGATATTTTCCCCAACAATAATGTATGTTTATATATAAGCAACATAAGAAAAATGGTGTTTGATAACAATATAGTGTGCAGGGACTTTGCATATTTTGACATGTTATGTTGCTAATTTGCATTTGAATGGTTATAAAGTTATAAAGTTTTTGAATCTCAATGTCTATAGTAATTAAATAATTGGTGTCTGACCTCACCAATTGTATGATACCATCAGAATTTCTTACCACTGTGAATATTTAAATCTGTTACAATTAAAAAATGGTTAAAAACCCGTAATTTCTGCAACTTTGAATATTGGAACTAAAGAAAAATGTAATAGGTAATATAGCCACCGAGATTATCTGCCAAAATAATACATATATAAATAAATGTTTCCAAATCTAACTATTAATTAAAAACTATATTAAATAAATAAACTTCCCAACTTTAGTGAGAGTGCTACATATGTAAAGAAGTTTTTTCAAGTTCAAATGATGTTCTGCATTTTTGCAGTGATTTTTACATTCAAAACACTGCATAGACATTGCCTAATTAATTAATCCTTATAATACCCACAAGGGGAAGTTGGGATAATTGTTATCATCATCAGTCCCAATTAACAGACAAGTGCATTAAGGAAAAAAAAGCAGGCTCTGCAATGACTAAACCAGGATTCAAACTCAGGCCCTCCTGCTGGTCACCTTTGTGATCATTTCACTTAACTACACTACCTTTCTCTCCAAAAGTTTACTGTTTGTACGTTATCTAAATCAGTACAAACAGTAAACGGTATTATGCCACCATGAAAATCTTTTTATATTGTACAAGATTTTTCTCTTTTTTAATCAGGGAAACATAAAATATAATTATAATGGCCTAATTCTACAGTCTTTAGTGGGACACAGTTTCCAAAATAGTAAATTGGAGTTCATACAAATCTATGACTCAGGACTGTAAGTACTGTCTCCATATTTTGACTGGATCCTGCAAACACCACATAACTAATCTCACAGTACTAGTCACATTGAGTAAATGAGATTACTCAAATGAGCAGAGTAATTCATATATATAAGAAGTTGCAGGACTATGGCCTAAGGTTGGACTTTTTTTCATTGCTATCAGAAATTATTTTATCATTAGATGTTTGAAGTAAAAAATGAACTATAATGATTAATTAAGTGATCAGGAGTTTGGCCTTATACTGATACTGAGACTAAGAGATAAGGTCAGCTGAGAAATGTAATATAATATGGAAAGGAGAAAGGATTGCATTAGATAATTACAAACTAAAATTAAAAAATGTCAGTCAATGCTGAAATTAGGAATTCTGACATTATGTTGATTAAGAACAGAGATAGAAGTAACTAATTTTCAAACATTCAAATAAGTGAGGTGTGATGTGTACCTACTGTACCTGTTTCAGACAGTTCTACAGTTCATCTGAGATTATGACAAACAGGGAAGAAAATAAACACTTCTCTTTCTCCACAATAACATCCTTGATCCTAAAATGCATCTAATAAAAATGTCTTCATAATACTACAGAGAGTTGTTGGAAAAATGATGGAAAACATTTGGTACATAAATTATTATATTGACAAAACATGATTAACCAATACTAACAAATTTAGTAATGTTACTTCCGCTATTCCTAATATTTGTGAAAAGTTGTTTCTGGAAAGTTTATATAAAGCTTTGTATATCGTAGAAAAATACTTCATGTCTACATTTTATGGAAGATTTGATGTGTGTAATTACGCATTAGTAAAGACTGTGATATTTTAAATTCAGAATAAGATATTGCACAATGGAGCCAGTGGTTTTACTGATCCATTAGGTATTACTGTATCTGTTCATTTATTTGCTAGAAACTATTATTTGCCATGTTGAACAGATATAAATGAATATTTTGGACACAGTTCTACTATGCCTATCCGGGCCTTGTCTATAGGGATCGTCTTTTACTACTGTAATTACCCTGGTGCAAAATACCAGTGTAGAGGCTTTGGACTAGTGTAAGATAGCACTTCTACTATGTTTTAAGCAAAGTTGCATAAGAGAAAACCTCATTCTTCAATGTTTCAGTGTATCTCTATTAGGGATTTGCACTAGTAATTACATCACTGTAACTACAACTATGGAAATTTCCCTGCTCTAGACAAGTCCTTAAACAAAACTCCCATAGGCTTCAAAGAGGATTTTGCTTGATTTTGCAGTCCAATCTGTGAAGGCACAGGCAGAGCTCTATTAAAATCGTTGGAGCTATGGCAAGCACAAGTCTGCCTACATGGAACTGATCAGCATCAGAGCCTAATGAAAGAATGCAGTATCGGTCCACATTTTTTTCTAAGAGTATTAGGTTTATAACCTTACGCAAATAACAGATATTGCATGTTAATCAGGCAGCATATTAAAATGTTTATATTGAAAAATAAAAACAATCATTTTGATTCATGTCTAATAAGAAAGAAAAACACAACAATAACAGAACACATCTGTTAACTCTGTTCTGTGGAGCTAGACGGTTATTTTCAAGGATACATGTTACACAGTGCTTCTAAATATTTGCACCACTACCGGCTCACAATATTTTAATATATTAACCAAAATCAAGACTGATCACATTACATACTAAATTTTGAAATAATTTAACAACTTCAGTTAAAAAAAGACCAAGACTAACTTGATTTGACAGAGAAAAGAGATATAAGGAAATAAAATAATCTCTAAAAATCATTCAGATGCATATTATAAGGTATGGTTTTATGGTTTTCTTTTTGACTGTATACTGTAATTTGACAAGTAGTTATCCATATGGAAGGATATTGGGAAAAAACACACCAAGAGACGCAATATGATCTAAGTTAAAGATGTCAGAATACAGTTTATTTAAAAACATTTTAGGTGAAATCATGGCCACACTGAAGTCAATAGAAGTTTGCTATTTACCTCAGAGGAGTAAGAATTTCACCCTCTGGTCTATTTTCCCTTTGATGCACCTGAATAATCCTCATTAAAGTTAAATGTACATATCAAGGGGCACTAGACCTCAAAAGAAATAAATGTTCACAGAAAGTAAATAGTATGTATGGCTCATGTTCTTTCATCTTGTTTCCTTTACATTTAAGAGAGTTGCTATGATATATAGCAAAATATCATTTTTATGTAGATAGGTCTGTTACATTACATGTGTGTATATGTATTTTAATAATAATGTGAAACCCAAACCAAATTTAAATGAACTGCAATACACCATATTCAAATTTGTTAGATATAATCCAGCAAAATCTAGCTGACTTTGCATCCCTCTTATGCACCCAGAAAGCATATGGCTGACAAATAGCTCTGATGACTTAAAAATGTATGCAAGAACTTTTAAAAATTAAATTATTAGTAGTACATCTTCATTAAGGTCAAGGTGCTACCACATCTTATTTAACTAAATGCACTTCCAACCTGAAATTATATTTATGATTTTCCTTTTGTATATTTAAAATGAAATTTGTGATGAGAAAATTGAATCCCATCTAAAGAGTGCTGTTATTGTAATCAACTTTGCTTTATGATCTGTCAATGTTCTGGAGTATGGAACAATTGTCAATAGTACTATGAACAGTGTTCTGATTGTAAATAAAACTGAAATATGTTATTGGATATCAGCACAATATAAAGAAAGCATTTTTTGTCCTCCAGAGATGATCATATAAAAATTAAAAAAGGTCTACATTAAATTAAAATATACCACCCATGTAGTATAGTCCCATAAAATGACTGATTTTAGTGTAGCATAGTTTCAGTTAAATTAATTAATTATGATTAATTATTATTATTATTGTGTAACATCTACTCAGATTCACTGGCCAAAACTCATTTCTACGATACTTTACAGGGGTGCTGAATCTGAGCTATTGTGTCACTATGTAAATACCTTCAAATATATTTGTTCAAAAATAAATATTTTAAGATGCAGCTTTTTTTAATATATGAAACCTTGAGCCTAATCCTGACCTCTATATGCAAACAAGCTGTCTATGTGCTTTGGGTCTGATCTTACATTCCTTTTGCACTCAAACCTCTCACTGACATCAGAAAGAGTTTTGCAAAGAAAAGGTCTACGGAATTAAATTAATTTCAGTGGGATTCCATCCCATGTAAGTACAATAATATGTCCATTAGCTTTATCAGGGATAGCCAAACTGTGGTTTGCAACTCTTTTACTGTTAATGTGAGTCTCATGGAGCTCCCCTCATCCCCATTCGCCACGTATCACAGTGTTTCTCCGTGGTCTGCAAAACCACTAACTGGCTACCCAGGTGTGTTTATTTACAAGCTCTGCGGCCATGGAGTCTTGCGGCTCCCATTGGTCTGGGCTGCTGCTTCCTGTGGCTCTCCTTAGCTGCAAACAGCAAACCGGAGTCAGTGGGAGCCGTGAGGCTCCATGGCCGCAGAGCAGGTAAATAAACACACCAGAGTGGGCAGTTAGCTGGTTTCTCAAAGTAGTTTCATGGACCATTTTGAAAAACACTGATCTATCAGACTGGAGGAGGAGGCAGTGAGTTGGTGTGATAGGGGTTTCCGCAGAGCAATGAGGGGGCTTCTGACTGGTGGGGAGGAGGTCTTGGTGCTTTAAAAGGAGTGGGACTGAAGCTCTGAACCTATCAGGTGCCTCTAGAAGGCTGATGGCTGCCCAGAGCTCTAGCCCCAGCAGGTGTACCCCAGTTCTTGAACTTCTGAAGATTGCCAGATGTGTGTCAGTGGGCCAGTAAGTTTGGTCACCCTTTTGCTATTTAATGTTAGCTCAGGGCCTAAAAGATTACATAGAAACTAAAAACACATTGGGTCTGCTCCTAGAGGCTTTAATTACCAATTAAACTACATTTTATAGTAAAAACACACCATATTAACTCATCAGCACAGGCCTACATTGATCATGAAACAGTTTGCCTTTATGAAAACAGTATGTCTAATCTCTATTATATCACATGTATGGACTTTTTCCCATTTGTATTAATCTTTCATCTTCTTAACCTGAAACAGTTGCTATGTTGTTCTGTGAAAGAAACCAGCTTGGCCAAAAATGTGATTTACTTCACATTTTATATAGTGGTGGGAAATGTATCTTTAGAAAACAAATAGATGAAACAGTGGTGAACTGATTCTATCCCAGTTATCCAAAATATGAATATAAAAATAAGCTCCTTCATGGTAATGTTACAATTATCATAATAGTTAGCCAAAGAAAATCTATCCTAAAACCACAATTATGTATGTATAACATTGCATCAATATGTTAAACAGTTGGCACAATAGTGAATATAGAAGATAAAGAAATGTTTTGACTTGCATTTATAAATAACTGTTATATATTATATTATCACAATCCATGTTTTGATTCTATCATTTATATTAAAAGAGTTCAACTTTTGCCTTTATTTTCCTCTTATAATGAATTTTCATGCACTTTTGAAAAAATATATTGCTATATGGCTCTTTCATTTCAGGAAACTCAACAGGCCTTGTCAAAAAGGGCAATAATTGGACAAAAAGGGCAAGTGACTGGAATGGCCCTATTAAAGCAATTCTCAGCTTAAAGAAAAGAGAATTAATATATTTTTCTGTTACACTTTTACTTCTTTGGTCAGCACTAACTCAGCAGATCATCATGCGAATGGTTTCACTGATTCCGCTAGTAAAACAAAGGTCATATTTTCATACAAATAAATTGTTGCACAACCACAAACACTTCCGTGATCAGTCATTCTATTTCCTCTTTCTACATATAATTTTCTTCAGAAAATTAATCATTGTAGCCTCTCCATGGGCAATCTCATTTCTATTAAGGCCTAAGTTATCAAATGACCCTCTTAGTTGTATTTCAGGATAGTTAATGAGTAAATTATCTTTTTTCTAAATTCATGCCTTTTTAAAGAATTCTTCTTCAACACTACTCTGCTGGAGGTTAATTGATTGTTTAATTTTCTTCTATAATGATGACTCTCATAATAGTTTTTTTCTGCTTGTAGGTGCTATAGAACACTAAAGAAGATTACACTAATTATTCTGATTTTAGCATATGGACTGTTAGAATGTTTCCTGGTCTCAAATATCAAATGTATGCAGAGAATATAGAGGCAGCAGATTTACTGGCATCAGAAATAGCAGCATCAGGAACTTTGACATAAAAAGACTCTTCAGGCATTTCTACCACCCATGTCTCATAAATTCAAGCTGTTCCTGTGCATTTACTCACTTGTGGATGCTGCCTCTTTGTGGCAGAATGCCATGTAAAATGTACCTGTCACATTAAGGACCAGATCCTGCATTCCTACTGAAACCACCCATAAGTCTAATCCACTTGCATTTTCGTTGCACAAGAAAAAAAAGTGCACACCTGAAGGACCACATACTGCCCCGATCACTGAGGCATTACTAAGAAAATATTCTTCCATGTCATTCTGAAAGCCAATGCACTTAATCATCTCATTTTCGTGGCCATTTAACACTAGTGTAACTGCAGTTTTTGATACTCCTGATTTACAGCAGTGTAAATGAGAAGAGAATCAGGACCACTGGCTTTTGAAATAGTTCAAAGGGAGGGTTTTTTTCAGTAAAGACTGCAGAAAGAGATTTCAAACAGCACTTACAACTCTCATTAACTTCAATGATACTATGCTGCAGATCAAGAACAATATATACCATAATGTCATGTGTTTGTTCTTTTTGCAATAAAACAAGCAGAATCTCTTGTTCACATTTAAAATTCACATTTCCAAACTGTCCAAACTTGTGTGCAGTCATGCATACTTGATTTTGTTTGTTTAGATAGAGGAGGGCAAGATGGAAGGGAAGTACATATCCCAATATATCATTCATCCTGAATTTCTGAACACCAGTTTAAAACAAAAATAAATATACACATTTTACATAAGTGGAAAAAAGCAGCACAGAACAGAGCCCTTTTGCAAAACAGATGTATTATCAACTCCTTGCCAAATTCCAAAATAATAACCTAAGAGACAAAGGTTAAAAAGAATGTGAAATATCACTTACCCTGATCCATATATAAAATGAAGTCTTTAGAAAAGAAACAAAAGTAAACATGAAACTATACTATTAAGCATGTTGATGATTCACATAGCAATATCCACTTCTGATCCATGTCAGGTACCTTGATAAATTACAATATATTGTGTTTTGACAATAACCTAGAGAACACATCAGATTATTAATTCCTTTCTATTCAGACTTGATTGCTACTAAAGGCAGTTTCATGTACCAAAGTATTAATTTGTTGAGATACTGTGAATTTCAGGTAATCATTACTTGATGTCCTTATATTTGAAATAGTTATCAAGTGTTTATTCAGAAATTATATATTTTTTTAAAAATTACATGTGCTGGGATACATATGAGACACCAGTTGTCCCATGTTACAGTGATGTCGTATGTATGGATATCCTTTTCATTGCCTGATGCCCAAAGGGGTAAAGACATTATATAGAGATTTGTACAGTCCATCATTTGGTCTTTCAAAGTGCCAGTATACATATGGATCTGTACAAGTGCAATTGCATTTTACGAAACAATCAGAAATTGGCTACAACAGTAGTCAAATCATTATATTTTGGTTGACTAATAAAAAAAACAATTTTTCTGCTAAAATCAACAATTTCCACATATCCCTCACCAGTTAATCCAACTAGTTGCTCTAGCAGGAGGGTCTTAATACAATATACTTTTATCCTATCCAGATTGCTTGTCTTGGATTGTCTTTTAAGATTTGGTCATGATTACTGTTAATTTTAGTGATTTTAAATGTCCTCCTGATGCCACTTCAGCTTTGGAAATAAAGCTCTGCATGTAGTACAACACTTCTGAGCAGACTGTGGGCCCCATCCTGAAAAACACCTACACATCCATGTAACTTTACTTATAAGAACAGTTGCACTGCCTATGGCCCCAACCTTCCAAACTTTTGGGCATGTGAATAACTTTACTTACTCATTGAAATATATGGAACCACACACTGGAGCAAAGGTATTCATTTGCCTAAGTGTTTTCAGGATGTGTGCCTATGTCAAGACTACTTTCATGAATAAAGTTACTAGGATAATGCAATTATTTTCAAGACTGGACCTTAAAATAATGAAGGAAAGAGAAATGCACATATAAAAATAGGTGCTACAATAAAATATTCTTATAGTTCATCAATAAGTTATTTTACTAATCAGTTATGGATCATATATCTCTGTACTCTTTAATGATTTGTCCACATCTCTGGTGATCTTTTTAAAGATCATAATATATATATATATATACACACATGTGTATATTTACACATATATATATATATTTAATTCAAAAGTCCAGAAAGCATACAAACACATCCTTAAAAAATGAAACCTTGTATTAAATTGGGTGTGCAATCTCTCCTTAAAAGCCAGTTAGACTCACCCAGAGCTAAAAGGGGGAAACCTGTGATGCACTCTTCAACCAAAGAGAAAATAAAATTAAGCAATGCTTGTCCAACAAAAATGGAAGTGACTATGACTTTTGTACTTGTAACCTGCACAATCTGACCTTAGTAAACCCTCTTCCCACCTCCCCAGCACACACAGACACACAAACACACAAGAGCAAGTGTTGTGCCCCGTTTACACAATAGATTGTTTCCTACTTGTAAAAATAAAAATGAAACAGCACACCCTTTCAGTATCATTCCCCAGAAGCTGAAAATCCTGTGCCAAGGCACTTCACCCTACAACAAAATGAGTTAAAGGGGGGAGGAAGGGGCTCAGCATTTGTGTTTCTTTGTTTTTGTGTGTGGTTGTTGAATACAAATACTCTAGAGGAGGAGGAGGAGAAGGAGGAGGAGTTGATGTGATTGTTGGGGGCAGGGAGGGGATTCTCAGAACTGGCTGAATGTGGTCTGTTTTTCCAGCACTTCGAGGTAGTCCGGCTCTGCATTTAGTTTTGCTTTTAACTCCAGATACTCGTTCCTGTTGGGCTCTACATAGACAGTACTCGGGGGGCTGTAGAGTACCGTCTCCCGGAGCCTGCTGTCCCCCGCCCCCGGGTGCAAGTACTGATGAGGCCGCATAAGGTCATAGTTGGGGGAGTAGGTGTAGGCGGCGGGGAACTTGGGGTAATCGGGGAGGTTATTGCCCGGGGTGCCCACTCCCAACGTGGAGGAGGAATGTTTCTCGGGCTCCAAAATGCCCCTGTAAAAGCGATCGGCGTCTTGCACCGGGGAGAGCAGCTCCTCCCGGGGCTCGATGGTGCTGACGCTGTAAGAGGGGCTCCGCAGGGGCTCCTCCCCCGAGGGAGGCGGGGGCGGCGGCCCCTGCTGCAGGTGGTGGTTGCTGTAGGTGACCTTGAGCTCGTGCAGATCTTTGTAATCCTCGCCCGCGTTGCCCTCCCGGGAGCGGTAGATGGGGTTCTTGCACATGTGGCCCAGCGGGTGCGGGATGTACTCGTACACGTGCCCGGCCGGGGTCTTCACCTTGGGCAGGGCTGGGCCGCCGGCGCGGGGGTGGCGGGGCTGCGGTGGCGCCGGGTGGTGGTGGTGCCCGCCGCCGTAGACGCTGTACTGCATGTTGAAGGAGCTCACGTCGGAGTTGTTGGCGCTGGCGGGGTCGCCTTGGCCCTTCTTGCGGCGCTTCATCACCAGCACGAAGAGCCCCGCCGCCACGAACACCGACATGATGAACACCAGCAGCAGGCTCAGGATCAGCACCGACAGCGGCACCGAGGACAAGGGGGGGCCGCCCCCGCCGCCGCCCGAGGGCACCGCGCCCCCCGCCGCGCCCGTGCTGTTGAGCCTGACTGTGGAGGGGAACAGGGTGGTCCGGGCGGGCAGCTGGACGGAGGAGGGGGTGGGGGTGGAGACGATGATGTCGGAGTAGTCGGGGCACAGCAACTCGGAGCGGATGCTCCGCATGTCGCTCTGGGCGAACTTCTTGGGCGATTCGCAGATGACTTGGTCCACCAGCACGCCGGTGTTAAGCTGCTCTAGCCACAGCTTCATGCCCACCACGTCGCAGGTGCAATCCCAGGGGTTCTCGTGCAGGTCGATCTGCAGCAGGGATTTCAGCTGGTCCAGCACCCCGCTCACGGGCAGGTAGGAGAAGTGGTTGCTCCTCAGGCTCAGCCTGTAGAGCGTCAGGCCGGAAAAAATGCTGGCGGGCAACGATCTCAGCAGGTTGTTGTTCAGAAACAAGAGCTGGAGGTTGGGGACAGACTCGAAGGTGCCAGCCTCGATGTCCCGGATGACGTTGTACTGCAAGAAGAGGTACTGCAGGTTCTGCAGCCCGTAGAACAGCTCCGGGCTCAGCCGCTCAATCCGGTTCCCATTCAGGTAGAGTCTCCTCAAATTAGATAGATCCCCAAAGGCCCGGTCCTGGATGACCGAGATGCGGTTGTTGCCCAGGTGCAGCAAATCCAGCCCGGTGGCGTCCAGAAAATCTGCTCTGCGCACCAGGGCGATGTAGTTCTCGGTCAGATACATCTTCTTGGGGTTGTAGGGTTTAGGCTGGAGCTCCGAGATACTTTCGATCTTCCTCTCTTGGCAGTTGACATTGAGACCCAGATCGGATATCTGCAGGTTGCAAGTGCAGGCGGTGGGACACTCCAAAGGCACCGGGGATTTGGTCTGGTAGGCGATGCTGGGGCCGTAGTTACTGTATCCCAGGTCTTTGGAGGGTAGGCGGGAGGTGGGACGCACCCTGGTCTTGTTGGGTTGACGGGTGCCCTTAGCGGGTTTCAAGGGGGATTTGTAAACAGCCGAGGAGGACGTGGCCACGGAGTTGACCGAAGCCGGGGTAGTGTGGAAATACCCTGTAGTGCTCAAAGGTGTCTGCGGTCGCATTTCATAATCCGAGATGAGTCTCCTAGGGCATAGCTCCTGCTTGGAGACCTCATCCAAGTCTCGGCCATGCAAGCGGAAAGGGGTTTCACAAACCACATCCCCCACCAGAGCCGAGTAGGAGATACTGTCTAGCCAATCCTTCAGAGCGATCAACTCGCAGGAGCAATTCCAGGGGTTCTCCTCCAGCTGCAGCTCCACCACTTTATCCATGTGTTGCAAAAGACCCAGGTAGGGCAGCAGCTTCAACCGGTTGCCCCTCAAGTCCAGGTGAGTTAAGGGTACAAAACGAAAAAGATTATTGGGCAAGCTAGAGAGGAGGTTATCGTTGAGGATGAGCACCTGCAGCAAATGTAGTTTGCTGAAAGCATTGGGTTCAATGGTGCTGATGTAATTGTAATCGACTTGTAGATACTCCAAACTCTCCAGACCAAGGAAAGTGTCATCTCTTAATAGTTCCAGCTTGTTATTGTTCAGGTGCAGCCTCCTTAAGCCTCGCAGACCGTGAAAGGCCCCAGTTTCGATATCTTGTATGTCATTGCTCCCTAGATGCAAAATCGAAGCCCCAGAGTAATTGACAAACTGGTTTGGGTAGAGCCTATTCAAAAGGTTCCCAGACAACAAGAGGTGATAGACAGGGAATCTTGGTGGGCTGATCTCGAAAAGGCTGATGATCCCTCGGTTTTCACAGCTCACCGTTAAGATGCCGTCCTTTTCCTCGCAAGGACACGCATTATCACAGATTTCCCCATAATACTCGATGCTTTCTGCCCACGACAGGACTAGCGATGTTAAAGCAACCGCTATCGTCTGCAGTATCCAGATATGCATTTTTTTGTTGGGGTCCTGTTCCAAAGTTACTGTAGGGCAGCATGCGTACATTTTATCTCCTGTAAGTACAAGAAGAGAAAACAACATAATAGAGTACAGGTTTTAAACTAACCGGACACAAAGTTTTCAATTATTTATTTTAGCGTGGGAGGCAAAGAAGGTTGCTCTAAAAATAAAATCTTGTCTTTTCTAATCGCAAGTGCTTTAAAATCTGAATAACACTGAGTCTATCTGAAAGGATGATGTGCAACTCCTAGTAGGTTAAACGTCTTTTGTGTTTTTAAAAGGTAAGGTCACACTGGGAACTATTCTGTTTCTACTCATATGTGCTACATTTCAGTGTTTCGTCGATTTTTTTTCATGACCAGCCCCATAAATATACATAAAATGGCTGTCAGTTCGGTTTCACGGTTCTAATTTAAAAGAAAAGAAGCACCATTTTACGAGGTTTCCCATCTCAGCCCTATTACCCACCCCTCTTTCTTCTTTTCAGAACCTCTTCAGCGAACAGCTCACTGTTAAGGTCTTTCCCCACTTTTACAAGGTGCTACCGAGATTATTTTTAACCACTGCTGGAACTGCCATTGTAGGAAGCCAAAGGGGGAGGGGGACCGTGAAATATGTACATTAATTTAAAACAGAGAATCCTGGTGAATCCCAGAATTCACCTCTACCCTAATACGGTTTATGTCTCTATATACATATATATGATTATTTTTAAAAAAACACTTAACTTTTGTAACGGACTTCTCCAGCAATGCAATGGAACACATCCACCGTGTAACTGAATGCACTTACTAGCTCGCTTTAGTAATAGTATTGAATGGTGGGATTTGCATCTTCATTCACATAAGTAATCTTACTCCGTTAATATTTATGAACACAGAGAGGGAGAGCGAAAGAGAGAGAGAAAGAGAGAGAGAGAAAGAGAGAGAGAGAGAGGTCTGAGCCACTCACCCAACATTTGTGAAAAAAAATATAAAATGTGAAGAGCATCTTCGCAGACTAAGCCATATCAGGCATACTGTTATTTCCAATGTTTTGTAAAACTAGTCTCATAGAAGCAGAAAGATTTAAATAGATCTCAAGCAAATGGAGATGCTGCTTATAAGCAACGATGGCTGTCAGTGCTCTTCATCCTTTAGGGGAGAAGACACCCGCGCTGATTGAAAGCCAACGGGGGGAAAAAATCTACCATTGACCTACGTCAGTGATTTAATACCCGAATTTCATCTAGCCGGAAACAAATCCGATTTTCTTTCTCTCTTGCAGTCTGTCTCCTTGCAGCTTTCTCCTACTTCACTAAAGATAATATTAAGAGCCGGAATATGTGTATATGTTGCTATTGGCGCTGCGGGGGAAGACTAAGAAGTCATTGGGACTTAAATACTGTGGTCGTGGAGCAGGACTGCATTTTCTACCGTCAACCTTCTCAGAGCCTCGGTCCTCACAGCAACACTCGCTTGGAGAAACGCACCCTAAAAATAAGTCTCCTCACTGCAAGAGATCTCTTGTGGCAGCGAGTTCAACGCTGGAAACCTAGCACTTGCAGCACAGGGAAGCCGCAGGGAATCGGGCGTCTCGACGACTATAGATATATTAAATATATGCATATAATTGTCACCCAATGTCTACCGGATCGAAAATGCCGAAGCCAAATGGCTTCACTGCATGAAAGCAGCGGAAATCTTTCTAGTTAGAGCATTTACCTTGCAAATTCTCTCAGCCCGATCGGATCCATTCATCCATTAACCGCCTGGGCTTGAAACCAAAAAAAAAAAAAGCCATCGCGAAACGTGCCGGGGCACTATCAAACTCCCGGCCGTTTTGCAACTTTAATTCAATTACGGTTAGTAAAGGAGATAAATACAGTCTCCCCTCCCCCTTTCCTCCTTCAGAAACCCCCCCACGGGGGTGGAGAGAAAGAAAATAAAGTTGACTCTGGGCTATACACGGCTGCGATCCTGCCTGGGAAGCCCGTCTGTGATGGCTGTGCGCCGCTCCTTGCCAGCTCTCGGTGGAGGGTCACAGTTGGCGCGGAGGGGGGAGGGGGTGTATTGCTTTCCCCCGAAGAGTTCAAACCCTAGCTCGCCGCACTGCACGGCCGGCTCTAGGCAGCTTTCAGTACCGCCGACAGCAGCAGCAGCCGCCGCCGGACATCGCCGCCTAACTGAACAGCACCCCGGGTTGGGAGAGATCCTGTTCCAGAGGGGGAAGGGGAGGAGTTGCTGGAGAGGAGGAGGAGGGGGGCGAAGGGGAAGCCACAAAAAGACACCGGCAGGAAGGAAGGAGGGGGGGGGGGGGGAACG